CGATGGTTTGTTCTGTAGACTATCGAAAAAAAAGTTAGCTTAAAGGGGCTAATAATTTTGTCCTTAAAATGGTGTTTCAAAAATTAATAACTGCTTCAGCCCCCCTGAATTATTAGCCACCTTGTTTATTTGTTTATTTCCCCCCCTGCTTACATTATCAGACATATCGTGAAAATTTGGAAAATATTTAAAAAAGGAAATATATAATATATGTGTGTGTGTATGTATATATATATATATATTTTTTTTTTTTTTGTGTGTGTGTATATTTATATGTAAACAGCACAAATCTAGTCATTTCTTTTGCCAATTTAATTGTTTTATGTTAAGGAAATGCTGACATTAAAAGTAATCTTAGGTGTTTAAAGTAATAGAAAGACTTGTTAGAGTTTAATCTTCACTTTAGTTTGAAGGTTTAAAAGATTTTCATGTAATGCTTTGAGTTTTGAGGTTACCACTTTGCAGAAGCACCCATGCTTTGGGTGTTGGCATTAGCAAAAATTCAGTTTGTCGCTTTGCTCAGTAAGCAATAACTGTCCTAAATTAATCCTGAGATGTTTATAGATAATGCTTAAATGACACTTTTCATTTATTTAGGATGACTTTAAATAAAACTAGCAGACTAAAAACTAAGAAACCAAAATGTAATTTGTTTTAGTTAAATTTTAGAGTTCAAGTTAAAAATACAAATGTATTTACACTTTTATTTGATAAAATCATATTGGACCAACTCAATTGTATTTAAATGTGTAAATAGGTTTTATAGTGTATATGTTTATGTTTTTATTTTGTTCACATCTGTCTGTCATTCTTTTAATTAACTACTGTAAGCCAAATCAGAGCAAAAATCATTTAAAAATATCTCTGTTTTAAATTAAACACTTGCTTTCACGTTTTGTTTTTTATTATTATTAATGCATACTAAAATAAATGATTTAATTGATGATGAGGTGGCTTTAGATATGTATTTATGTATAAATATAAAACATACAGTCAAGATTTTAGCCCAGATTTAACCTTTTTTCTTTTTTAAATATTTCAAAATCGATGTTTAACAGAACAAGGATTTTTTACAGTATTTCCAATAATATTTTTTTTCTGGATAAAGTCTTTTTTATTTTATTGCGGCTAGAATAAAAGAAGTTTTTATTTTTTAAAAACCATTTTATGGTCAATATTACTAGCCCCTTACGCAATTTTTTTTTTTTTTTTATGATTGTCTGCAGAACAAACCATCATTATACAGTGTCTTGCCTAATTACCCTAACTTGCCTAATTAACCTAGTTAAGCTTTTAAATTCCACTTTAAGCTGAATGCATCTTCTAGTAAAATAGAATGTAATATCATCATGGCAAAGATGAAATAAATTGATCATTGGAAATTAATTATTAAAACGATTATGCTTAGAAATGTGTTGAAAAAATCTTTCTGTTAAACAGAAATTAGGGAAAAAAACAGGGGGTTAATAATTCTGACTTCAACTTCAACAGACAAACATTTTTATTTGTAAATTAATTTATGTCAGATAAATGAATAAATGTACAGCTTTAGTGACTGCAACTTAACATAAAAAGCTCTCAACATGTTCATGGAGGAAAATACATTTACGATGTATTTCAAATCCCAAGTAGGGGTCAGTGCAAGAACACAGGGTGTAAAATAACAGCCACTAAATACTCATATAGACGTGCCAAAACGAAAGGTGTATTTCTCAATGGCAAAATAAGCAGTTGGTAATTTGCATCATTACAGTTCAGTGAGAGGGTGTAGAGTTTTCAACCAAAAGCCAAATCTCCTTAAATTTGCTTTATTGTTAGCTTTAGTAGGGCTGAGTGTTCCTTCTGTTTCTTTTGGCACATTTGAAGCAGACGGTACAAATTAGAACAAGTCCTTCTTGCCTACTTTCACCTGCCACAGCTACTTTTGGTCTGGTGCTTGACTGGCATGGGAATATATGATATGTCATAGAATATATATACACTGTGGCATAACAAGCAAACATATATGTCATATGCAAATACAACATCAGCAGAACACTTTTCTGTTAAAATGTGTTTCATTTTCTACCATTCGTATTGATGTGAATAATGATGGTATTTTCTTTTTCTTTCTTTCTTTTTTTTTTTTTTTTTTTTGCAGTTCACACGCCAACAGGAATATCATAACTCATTTCCCAGATGAATCCAATGGTTCCAATGACTGAATAATGGTATGTTTTTGCATGTTACATTAACTAAAGTATGGCCTTAGTGATAAATCCACAGATTTCATACTATATCAGTTTTCCCTGTCTGAAAGAACAAATTCCTTAGGGCATGGATTGTCTCGAGGGCTCATTCTTTATCTGTTTGAGCTTCTGATCGCACACATTAAACAGAAAGCAAGTAGGGAAATAAAGATGAAACCCAGATTTGATTAATTCTTAAGGAAAAAATGCGGTTTAGTGATCTCCTGGGGTGTGTTGTGAACTGTTATGCAAAACAGTTGTTATATGAGCTGAGGTCTTCGTGGTAAAATTGAGCCTGCTTCCAGGTACACCTTAAGTCAGGTAAAGGCTGTCAGAAACAACCAAATAAATTCATTTCTGTCACTATAACTGATTTGCTGATAGAATGTGTCTGTTGGTGACCTTGGTAAAAGTTGCCAAACAAAGTCCTCCATCATGTAGACATTTTAGGATTTTTCTAATGGATATCTTGACAGTACAAACAGACGTACTGCTGCTACTCTGTTGCTACGAAGACTGTTCAAACAAAATTAAGTCCCAGAAACTGTTCTGAAAGATTAGTTTGTCTGAATCAAAGGCTGAATTTTTTACCTAATCATATGATTAATTTATGTCTTTGGTATTTTGTGGCGTATTAAAAGGATAGTTCACCTTAAAATGAAAAATTCTGCCATCATTTACACAACCTCCATTTGTTTTAGTCTTGTACAGTTTTATTAGTATGAACACAGAAGAAGAAATGGCACAATACAAATACAATACAAAATGTGTTCTTTCAACATTTCTCTTTTTAATAAAGCTATTTTCAAAAGGGTTCAATTCTAAAGTAATAAAATCTATTTTAATATTTTCCCATTTATTTATCCCACCTATTGCCATCACAGTTGTTATTAGTCAGTTTGAGTCATCACACTTTTGGGTGTGACTCAAAACAATTTAATGGATTCACTCTCACAAAAATTTCCAGTTTATACAGTTAAAGTCAGAATTATTTGCACCCCCCTTTTTTCTTTTTTTTAATATGTTCCAAATGATGTTTAACAGAGCAAAGGATTTTTCACAGTATGTCTGATATAATTATTTTTTTCTGGAGAAAGTCTTATTTGTTTTATTTCTGCTAAAATAAAAGCAGTGTTTATTGTTTTTAAAATATTTTGATAATATCAAAATTATTAGCCCCTTTAAGCTTTACATTTTTTTCCGCTAGTCTACTGAACAAACCATCATTATACAATAACTTGCCTAATTACCCTAACCTGCCTAGTAACCCTAATTAAGCTAGTTAAGCCTTTAAATGACACTATAAGCTGTATAGAAGTCTTGAAAAATATCTATTAAAATATTATTTACTTTCATTAAGGCAAAGATAAAATAAATCAGTTATTAGAGATGAGTTATTAAAACTATAATGTTTAAAATATATGTTAATATATGTATCTCCATTAAACAGAAATTGGGGAACAAAAATAAACAGGGAGGCTAATAATTCTGACTTTAACTATACAGTATGTGACTGTTGGCCCTTTTAGCAGCATGCTAAAACCGTAATTAAAAAGACAATTAAATATATACAGAAAATGTCATCCATTTAGTTTCTGATCCATTTTTATTAATTAATAAATCCCATTTTAATCTGCAGTATAATTTAGCACACATATCACTTCATGTGTGAAAAGCAGAAAGTGTCCAATTTTAGATTTAATATTAAGTGTTTAAATATAATTGAGTATTTGTGTGACATTTAATCTAAAATAATTGTAATTTGAATTTTTGTTCTTACTAAAATGTTTCGTTTTTTTTGTTGTTGTTTTTTTGACATTTTTTAAAGCAATTAATAATCAGAATAATGTCCTTTCATTTGCTTCAGTGTATATAGATGAATGGAGAAGGAATCATAACAGAACATGCAGTAAATTAATCTGAATCTATAAGTCACTGTATCAAACTTTTCTGTTAACTAAATAAAATGTTATCTCCCATGTCATTGGTGCGTGAAAACAAGTGCTGACAAATAAGTATAATCAATGCACTGCCGAAAACTGTGTTATCAACAGTCTCCTACATACTACGAAGAGAAAGTCTCAAGAGGGGGGGAAATGAAGTTGCGACAGTTAGAAGGACCTGGTGAAACAAGTTCTTGATCTTTCAAGGTCATCTTGTTTTTTCCATTGGACGATCTAAATCGGAGACACGATTACTTCTAAAAAAAAAAACCTCTGTAGTACAAAATACTAAAATATAACAATATTCAATAACAATAATTGAATAACATCCAAGTCAGTTTTATTTTAAATATTTTTATTAAAAAAGGAAACAATATACACCTTTAAGGAACCTCAGTAAAATAAAATAAAATAAATTCCAACATTCACACATACAACAAATATACATAAACAAAATTAGTCATGTTAAAATACAAAGGCAGACAGGATCATATGACAACACCAGCATGCAGCAAAAGAAGAAAATCTGCTACACCATATGCATTTTCTCTGCTTATCTGCTCAGTTTCGTTACAGGTGTTTGCAGTCAGTGACAGTAATATGAGTTAGGAATGAGATGGGTGTGTAGAATGGCTTGATGTCAGCAGCTGACCTCGGGTCAGAGCTGCTGGTAGCAGGGGCCTTTTGCTGGAGTCAGCCTGTCATATCTGCTGCTGACTAGGCTATTCCTGTGGGAATTCATTCGTATCTTGTGCCCACAGAACTCAAAGGAGTTCAGTTAGGCCAATAGCAGTGTATAGTTTCAGGAAAACAACAGTGTTTTTTCTTACCCCCATAGTCAGTAACATGAATTGGTTGATCAGCTTGTCTGTCGTCTGCTTCCCATCCTACACCTCTGTGCCTTCCCGAGGGTAAAGAATACCCGTTGAGCTCAAACCAGGGAAGAAATGGCCATTAAACTGACTGAGAACAGGTCCGCTGTAAGCTAACGTGGAGTGGGAGGGTGACGAGGACATGGGTGGCGGTGGGGGCAGAGGTGAAGCCCAATCGGACACCGTAGTGCTTGGAGTGAAGGTGGAAAAACCTGTGGTTTGTGAAGCTCTCTGTGCCCCGTCTACTGGCAGACTGAGTGTAAAGGGGCGACTCAGGGGATCCGCTTCCATGTCAAGAGATCCGGCCGCAACTCCAGACATCTCAGTCAGGAAGTTGCTCAAGCATGGCGATGGACCCGTGGATGCGGGTGATGGGCCCTTTTCTGGTGAAGTGGAAATGTCAATGGATTGACTTTTCGGGCTACCCCTGCCATTACTGTCTCCTGACTCATTCCCTCCAGAACTGCTTTTCTCTGGGAGACTGTCAGACTTTCTCTTTCTCTTGCGTCTGAAGTTGCCATTGTCAAACATTTTTTCACAATTCGGATCTAAGGTCCAGTAATTGCCCTTTCCTTTAAATCAGAGAGATTAAAAAAGTAAAAAAGATTGAAAAGAGTAGCATGATAAATAAATGATTATATGATTTATTTTAAAAATATATTATATTTGTTAATTTGCTATGAATTATTAATAGTGTAAAAATTACAATTTATTTATTTATTTATATTATATAATACATTGTATATATATATATATATATATATATATATATATATATATATATATAGAATGTCTAACTCTAAAAATAGACATTTTTGTAATTATTTTACATCATATTTTAATATCTAATAATAAAAATATATACATATTTAAATAAAACTCACTATTATTTGTATTGTCTTTGAGAGATTTTATCTTAATTTAATAAATAAACAATAAGCAAAACAAAAAACACTCACCTGGATCATCTTCATCTCGTGGAACTTTTTTGAAACAGTCATTGAGTGAGAGGTTGTGTCGAATTGAGTTTTGCCATCCTGCTTTGCTCTTGTTGTAGAAAGGGAAATTGTCTGCAACATACTGATAAATCTGACTGAGGGTCAGGCGGCGTTCTGGGGCACCATGTATAGCCATCGCAATAAGAGCGGAGTATGAATACGGTGGCCTGACCAGCTTCATTAGATCCTCCTGAGACGGCATGGAGAACCAGCTCAATTCCCCTCCAGGACCACCTGGTGGCCCAGGTCCTAAATAGGGCCTCTGCATGCCGTAGTGCTGGGGAACGAAAGAAGGTCCAGCAGGGCCAGGCGTTCCTCCCAGATAAGGAGCGCTGTTCATTCCTGGACTGTTGAACCACAGGTAGGGGTTAGGTGAGGAGGCGGCATAGTCTCCAAGTTCGTATGAAGACGGGTTGGTTCTTTGTGGACTTGGAAGGGATGGAGGCGGATAGTAGCTGTCGCTGTACAGACTCAGTTCTGGAGGTTCCTGTCCTAGGCTAGGGAACTGAGGCCCACATCTTGTCGGAGACTGACCTTGAGACTCGTAGGATGTCATTGCTCGATCCTGAGGGTGCTCCAGTTGGCATAAGAAAAAAAGTCTGTTATGTTTTCTATTTCTCCTGTCCTCTGATGACCTTCTCTTTTATGTTATCCCCTAAGAATATTTTCAAGAGCTCCTGTTTGTGTCCTCTGTCAGTGCTATTGTGCTTTCTTCTGCTGTATTAACATTGTCACTTGTTGCACCTGTTTTATTTATGCATAGGTAGCACCGCCTCAGTCCCACCTTATTGAAACCTTCAACGTGTTTAGGCTCTTCTTGACACAGCCCCTATAACCACCCACCCATCCACTCCACACAAACCAGCAGCACCAGCATTCACCTGGAGGCATTCACGGAGTTGAGCTGACAGTGGAATTTTCTGTTACAACCACCTGAAAGTCCTGATACATTACCAGTCAAAAATGTGGAAAAATTTACAACTGCTGCATTTATTTGATTTAAATTTACAATAGCCTAGCCAAAAGCCTTATATGGGAAAATATTTTAAAAAGCTGCATTTTCAACATCATTACTTTTTGACGTGCAATCATTGAGAAACCATTTTAATGTATGCCGATTTGCTGCTTTATGCCACTTGTTATTGATGTTCAGTGAGGATTAAGGTTTTTATTGTTGGTAATGATGAAAGCTTTTGGTTCTGATTTATATTTTTAAATATTGTAGTTATGATAATAATAATTATTAAATAATAATAATAATAATAATAATAATAATAATAATAATAATAATAAAGAAGAAGAAGAAGAAGAAATCCTTACATATATATATAGCAATTTTCTGAACACTCATGTTACATATTTTGTGGGGGGAATCTCCTTACCCACCTCCAGTCATTAAAACATGCAATATTTACAAAAATAAAGTCATCTTTCACTACAATAGACCAAATTTTATTCTGAATCTTGGACTTTAATCTTGAAAGAAAAAAAATACCAATAAAAAGGTTTGAAGCACTAATTTAATCAATCAAATTGGCCCATATTTTTTTAAATACTTATTAGGCTATTTTTGGCATGTACTTTCAAAATGCACCTTTTTTTTTTTTTTTTACAAAGGAGACTAGAAAAATAGTCAAGCTCTACATAATTAATACAGGCCTGTATTACATTTTTTATTGTATTCATTTATTTTTTTGGCATTTTAATAACTCCAGAAATGATTTATTCAGAGAAAATGTCTTATTGTGCCTTTCATTTAAGCTTAGATAGGCTACATTCTTGTCATTCAACCATTCTGTGTAGCATCATTCAGTGTTGATAGTAATAACATGTTATTAAAGCATGCTAAAACTATTTTAGCTAAGAAATGTAATATTATTGATTAACGTAAATGCAAGTTCAAATAATTTGCTTCTTTGCTTGCTTGTTTTTTTTTTTTTTGGCAATGTCATGATGTCAGCGAGAAGGTCAAGACGTGAAATAATCTATAAGTCGTTTTATTTCTTTAAAACGTACTTATTTTAAAGAGCCAATGCACGAAAATAAATCGTTGTTCACTTCCGTAATCAAGCTGTTAGTTCTAAAGAGAGCGTTTTTGTAGGTAAGGTTATTCGATTCATACCGTGTACCTGCGCGTGCACGCGAGACAGCAGTTACAACTGCGCATGACAATTGCGTACTCGCGCGTGCATTGGAGTTCCTGTCAGCGCTCATAATACAACGAGAAACATAAAGTTGTCTACAATTCGCTTCACTATCAAGGTAATCTGCTTTATTTATGAACTTTTACTGACAGTAAATGTATATTCATTGTTTTAACCTAAGAAACGTCTCTTTGGCTTGAGGTAATGTAGCGTTAACTAATATTTCAATGGAAGGAAACGGGCGACGAACAACGAGTGTAACCGATTGTATTCGACTAAAACTTAAAATATCGTGAAATGACTAAATAAACCACGAAGATTATGTAACAAAAATTACGAAGTTTGCTGGTTTTTAGATGTCTGGCGGTTTGTCTGACGTGCAGTTATGCGAGGACTTCAGTAGTGAAAGTTTGCAACTCAACCAGCATTTGGAGAAAATGACTGAACAAATGGAAGATGTTTCAGGTAGGTAACTTAGCGATCAAATAGCGCATTACAGATGATAATAATAATCAATACTGAAATGAACAGTGTAAAGGAATATACGTACTGTCGATAACCAATATTTCTTTTGGTCCCCAGTGAAGCTGTCTTGTATGACCTACGATATGGTTGTGCTCCGCACCAGTCCAGATCTTGCTGAATCTTTCAAGAGCCTGGAGAATGAGTTCCAGAAGTGCAAAGCGGTCCTCTGTGGTCTTACAGATGGACAAGAAGTAAAATGTCATCCTGCTGATGAAGAACAAGTGTCTCCCAAGACTAATTAAATGTAGACATTCATTGTAGAACAAATGGTTTTGATATAGTTATTTTTTTGCTTTAGTTTTTCAGTGCAGCCATGTAGATCTGTTATTTTAAACATTGTCTATGCATTCACACAAGTTAATAAAAATATTTAAGCATTATCATGCTGACTGCGTTTGATTCATTTTATTAAACTGATAAAAATTGGCTTTTGTATATTTCTGCTTTTCACAAAACATTTGAATTCAGTGTTTTTTCAAATTAATTTAATCATTGTGTTTGTCTATGCACTTGAAACCCGATTTCACTTTCAGATGGAGTCTAAAGGACATTCCAGTGAAAACAGTGAACACGGAGCTTCAGATCGCCTGGATTATATTTTGAAGCAGTTGGATTTAATGTCAGAATTTATGGACGAACTAGAAGGTAAACTTGTTAAAAGTTATTTTTCAGCATAGTAGAGACTGGATTATGCCAAATTATCCCCATCCTTATTTTCTTAAATTCTGCAGAACTATTATCAAATATTCCTACAGTATGAAATCTAACAATAATGTGCCATTTGAAAAGTCATTACACACTTTACCGGCAGTTTAATAGTTCTCCTTTTCTCGAGGGCTGGCAGAAATTTGTCTGATGGCTTTCAGATGGGTATTTTGTGAACAAAATAAGAAGAAAACATGGCATCTTTGCCAAGGGTGGCAGTTAACAAGACGCTAGCATTAAGACATTAATCTGTACCCTCTGTCTAACATAAACATATCAGCTCTCAGAATATCCTGCAAATCCTCCAGGGCTGTCAATAATGCATTTGATTATGTCACTAAGTTTGGCAAGAACAAAAGTTGGCTGTATCTATTGCTGAGCCCTGCATATCCAGTTAAGCACAACTAAGCACCGTTGTACTGTATATTTGAACAGTTATGTCCATCTGTGTTATCGGCTCATTTTGTGGATTATCAAGACTAGAAATAACCGTATTTTTTGATTGATTACTGCTAAATTATAATGAACGGATAGATTTTCCTATTGGATGCACTGTGCGTTAACAGTATTTTTAATAATACATAACAGAATGCTTCTATTTAGGTACTTTGATTACAGTAAACATAACCTGTTTGTGCTAGTTCAATCAGAATGGAATCAGGGGGTCTCTTATATTCTCCTTGCTGTATGTAAAAACTACAACACTCTTTGTTTTCAGTAAAGACCCAGCTGCTGCAATGTAACCTGACCATGTGCTTCACACACCCTGATAAAATGGCTTGTCTGCAGAATGACGTGGAAACCCCAGCATGGTTAAACTGCCTGCAGACGATGGAGGACTAAATATGTAACTCAGAAAAGTTGTAATTAATTTCATTAAATAAGCAACATTGGCATCAAACACTAAAAGCATCTGTAATATTTAATTTAACACAAATATGCAGTTTAAAAGTAAAAGTGCCTCTACCTAGCATAGAGTGTAAAAATGTCTCTGAATAAACTCTGTTTAAAAATTTATTTTAAATGTAAAAAGTGTAGACAGTTCTGTCTGATTAAATCATTCTCAATATAATTTATTAATTTAGTTTTTTATGAGAGTTGAGTGATTAAATAAACTTACTGAATGACAACATTACATTTCATAAAAGTTCTGTATCATAATGTTCATTGCTTTTCTTCTGTGTGGGTCAGTAACCAGCTGGGTGCATGAGACAGCACTGATTCTGAGCTCCAGCTCCACGGTCCAGTCCATCAATCAGAAACAGTGGGTTTTTCATGTGGTGCATGATCATCTCCGCAACACTGGAGTAATTCTGAGACACACATGCAGTCAACTGGGTGAAGGAACTTACAATCTCACACAAACAAAAAAAACAAATGCAACTGATAATCTAAACAAAGTGTTGGAATGACTAACTACTGCAGTATATATAAAAAAAAACTCTCTTTAGATTGCTGATAATGGAAATATAAAATTGGCATATTTGGTAATAACTGAAGTTGAACAATAAACTAAAGCAACTTAGGTTTACTAGATGTTTATGTGTGTGTATTAAATAAAATTGAATAAGGCTTTTGAAAAATGCTTGTTTGTATACTAAAATCAAAATTGTAATAAATTAACGAACCCTTTAAAAATGATTATTTTTTTATTTATTAAGGCCCTTGTATATTTCCGCTGTACTTTTACAAAGATCTTAATATGATATCCTTGGAATATATGAATATCAGCAACAGACCCTTTTCTCATTTTTGGGTTTTTTACTATTTACTTTCATCATAGTTGGGTAAATTTAATAATAATCAGTAAATGTTAAATCTTAAAAATAAATAATAATTTTCATTGGTCATGTGAAACAACATACACTACCGGTCAAAAGTTTGGGGTCAGTACAATTTTTTAAATGTTTTAAATATTTAGCTTATCCTTCTCACCAAGGCGGCATTTATTTAATCAAAATTACAGAAAAAATTGTGAAATGTTAATGCAATATAAAATAATTGTTCAAAAGTAGCTTATAATTTAATTTATTAATTTATTTCAGTGATTTTAATTATGAATTTTCAGCTTCATTTCTCCAGTCTTCATATTCACATGATCCTTCAGAAATTACTCTAATATTAATTTATAATAATGGTAATTAGTAATAAAAGCAATAATGACTAGACTAATAATTTCATCTAAAATATGTACAACAAGTAATAAATATTTAATAAATAAGTATTTAAATTTTTTATTTATTTTTTTACATTTAATAAATGCCGCCTTGATGAAGAAAAACAAAACGACCCCCAACTTTTGACCAGCGAATTATTATATAGTTTTGTCTGTACTCCTCAGTGAGGGAATAATTTAATTAAGGGTCCACACAATATTATTAAAGTCCTAAAGGTAAAAATACAATACCCAACAAAACCACAGTGTTTCATTCGACAGTTCGATAAACGGCTCCATTCCAAAAAATTTTATTTGTAAAGGCTTGCTTCACATGTCAGATGTTAAAGGGGTGTTCAGGACATATTTAAGATAAACATTTCTGTCAAAATCAACAGATGCCATTACCTCGATGCCATTTAGTCCTGTTCCTAGGGAATATCCATCCTTGTTTCCAAGGAAACGGATCTGGATGTTGTACACTTTTTGCTGGTGCAGTACCATTAGTGTGTATGGTTGTTCCTCACAGCCCTTTGAGCTGTCTCTCACTAAAAAAGTACCATCCTAAAACAGAATATCCAACACTGAGAATGTAGATGTCTTCATATTTTTCCTGCATAATTTCTTTCTCTTAGTATATGAAGTATTTTTTATTGTGGCTTTAATTTCTAGTTAATTATATCTTAAAATTGTTATTTTAGATGAGGGATATATTTAAGGTAAATCAAAAATGTGATACCACTCACCTTTTTCACTTTTCTTAGTGAGACTTCGGCCTCTCCTCGTGATATTTGCCCCACATACCATTGAGGATCCATGTCCTGAGAGCATATCTAAAATGCATTGTTTACAGAGTGGTTCACAGTATGTGATTAATATGATTATTACAAACGGAAACACATTGAAGTTTCTGTGTTGGGAAAATGATGCACAAGGCATGTGGGCTTGGATTTCCTTTGTTTAGCTTCATTGCCTAACAAAACACATGCCTCCCCGTGAAACAACAGTGCCATCTTGTGGTTGTCAACACAATTTGCATGGTTTGGGTGTGAGGTCATTGTTTTTTTTTTACTTGTGAGATGCTTACTGTCGTGTGATTTTGCTCACCTGCTCCATCTTCTCATTTACTTCTACAGGTGGAGGAGGAAAGTCATCCATCTGTTGCATGTTAAATCTGTGTTGAAGATTCACTAAAGTAAGCTCACTTATTTCACAAGCCAGAATGCACACTGCTAATAAATAGACTCACCTTTGTGTAGGTAATGTTGCTGGTTTTGTAGCCATTGTTATGGTTTTTTTAGGTGCTAGTATAAAGGAGCATAAGTTAAAAAATGTTTATAGCCACACATATTATATCAGTCTAGAGTAAAAACAAAATGGCACCTGGTTTCTCAGTTTGTTTTTTAGATGAGCCAGGTTTCTTACTGCGATCTACTGTTGGCACTGCTGGTGTAGGTTTGGCTGTGGATGCGATTTGAGAACATTTAGACATTATGCTTCATGGGGGTTCCTGCAGGTCATGACATTTCTGGAGTATCATGCAATTTTAAAAGGGTTTTCATAGACATTGAAATTTAGATAATTTTTTTAATTGTCCAAGTCATGAATTATCAGGGAATTTTGTTTGTCGCTTTAAACTTTTGTTTCCCTTTATCAAAATGAAATTTTTCTATACTAAATCATGTTTTTATCACATTGTTTTAGACATTTAGCTTATTGTTATGGCTATTTGTTCAATGCCAGTTTATTCCTTCTCCACTTGTACTTCTTAACTAAGGGTTACAAAATGACCAATTCAAAGACTGAGTGTTAGATTGGGTTCTCTTCATTCTTAAAATTTTATTTTGAATTTTTTCAAAATCTAAGGTAAATTACAGATTGTTTCTCTAATAATGGCTGTTCAATCAATCAATTTATTTTGAAATTATGTAAAGCACAACAGCACCTTATAGGTCAAGAAAATTCATCTTGACAGATGAGTCTGAATTTGGCATTTAGCTGAGAGGGATTTAAAACGAAACATACCTTGATTTGGGGGAATGAAAGGCCTCTGTGGAGAAGGATCTGGTCGTGATGGAGGCTTTGAGATCTATAAGTAAAGTCAGTCATCTTGTGCATAAGTTTACAGTGAATGAGTTTTGAACGAGTGTGTATACTGAAACATTTTTTACTTACATTTAAAAGCCCTCTGGGAAGCCGACCTGAACTGTTGTCCTGTGGTGGTCTTGCAGAACCACGTGGGCAGGTGTCTATACAAAAGGCACACAGCAAAACGGTGAGTTATTATTTCTAAATTGAATACATGGATGGATGCGTTCATGTGTAGAGTGATTTTGATGGTACCTATATAATCACCGTCACCCATAGGCTTGGCAGCCCGAAAGTGAGTTGGTATTTCTGATGGTATTTCACTAGGAGGTGCTTCGTAGTCATCATCAGAGTTTACATTTTCTGCAGGGTCACCTGAGGCTGCACATATGTAATTGTCTTCAAACTCATTATTATCTGGCTCCTCATAGTCGTTGTCACTATCCTCTTGGTCCTAGAAAAACAGATGCACTTATATTAATTGTTAATTGTCAAAATGTTTAAGAACTTAAAAAAAACTGTGACACCAAGACTTACGAATTCATCAGAATCCCAACCTCCTGAAGTAGGTTCTACTTTTGTACAATGAAAATCAAATATAAACATTTTAGATTGTGCATATAATGGGTCCAAAACCATATTTGTTTATATTTGACAAAATTTACCTTGGTTTGGAGGCTTCCTATGATCTGATCTAGTCGAGACAAAGATTCATAACTTGACAAACTCAAGCACATAGAGGTATTTCAGTTTTGGGTTTTATTATTAGCCAAACAATAATTAGAAAATAGGTCATCTTGCTTACCTGTGAAATAGGCTCTTCTTTTCTTTGTTGTTCTGGTTAATGTCTTTGCAGATTTTTGTGATAAATCTTTCACATAGAAAAAAGTCAGAATAACAGAAGAGGTCATTACAAGCTCGAAACGAGAGGTAGCAATAAAAGAGATTTTATTTATAGAGAAAGCATATCAAATGCAGGTAAATTTGCCTAAATTGGGTAAATTTTAAACAGTCAAATAACTTCTGTGAAACTAAAATTATCGCTATCAGTCAGTGTAACACAAAAATAAATATTCTGGCCTATACATAAAATATATATGTGAAAAAATAAAAATAATTTTTATATTTGGAGCAATATATAGTGCAGATACATTATGTAAATAATCTTAAGGTTTTTTGTCTGAATTCTATCTGTATGCTTTTAAGAGTTTTGAATTCGTTATCAATAGGCCAAAGTGAACAGTGGCTCAGTGATCAGCACTGTCACCTCACAGCAAGAAGTTAGCTGGCTCGAGTCCTGACTGGGCCAGTTAGAATTTCTTAGCAATGTCGCCTCACAACAAGAAGGTTGCTGGTTCGATTTCCGACTGGGCCAGTTGGCATTTTTGTGTGGAGTTTGCGAGTTCTCCCTATGTTCATGTGTGTTTCTTCTGGGTGTTGCGGTTTGCCCCACAGTCCAAGACATGCGCTATAGGTAAATTGAATAAGCTAAATTGGCCCTGATGTATGTGCTCAAGCCTACGCTACCGTAATCTCTGATCCCTTAGGCGACACTGCATCCAGAATAGTTATTCATATATATCACTACATGGGCTTAGGACTACTTTGGCAAACCTTTGTCAAGTACAACAATACATACAGTAGTTGCATCCACAAATGCCAGTTAAAACTGTAGTGTGCCAAAAGGAAGCCCTTTGCTAACAGTGTTCAGACGTGTTATCGACTTCTCCGGGTTGAATGTGAGAGTGTATGGGTGTTTCCCAGTGCTGGGTTGTGGCTGGAATAGAGCTCCACAATTAATCGTAAAAAGATCGCAATCTCGATTTGACCCCTTAGACCAGTGGTTCTCAAACTGGTACGTGTACCACTAGTTGTACAAAGGCTTCCTTTTAGCGCGGCGCGGAGGAATGAAATATGTCATGTACATGCTACACACATTTCAAAATGTATCAAAAATTATGTATAAAATATGCCATATATGACATATAGCTTATATGTCTCAGGTAATCTGCCACGTTTTTTTTAACTGTGCAGAGTTGTAGCTGCTTAACTGGGCCTACTACACTACTGTACTTCAATACTGCTCATTTTGGTGGTACTTGGAGAGACAATTTTTTTCTGAGGTGGTACTTGATGAAAAAACGTTTGAGAACCACTGCCTTAGACGATCTTAATTCAGCATTTCTACGATTCTGTCAATCATATTTTTATGTTCAGGAGAAAAGCAATGGTGGCCGCACAAGTCTTCACATTGTTTTACATACGTTGTTCAGCAACATGGACACCTCCAAATGATGTTGAAAGAGTCACATGCTGGATTTATAAGATACAATTCACCCCAAAAATGTAATTTCTGTCTTCATGTAATGATGTATTTGCGACCGCAAAATCACACGTGACGTGAGCTGCTGACCATCAGCTGTCACCCCAGAGAGGCGGGTGCGCTCGCTGAATGAAGTCTACTTTAGTGAACAGAACCTGCATAAGCTGTGAATAACAGGTAATAGAGTTGTAAATAACATTCAGTTTGTGGCACAGAGTGATCGTTTGGGAGTCGCCCGGGAAGTGAACCGCACTTAGCAGTGAAAATTAAACCGAAAGCGCACACAGTGTTGCCAGATGTAGCTGACTGATTCCAGCCCAAAAAGTATCCAAAACCTGCTGAAATGCAAAAATACCCACCTAGTCTTCTGTATTCATGAAAATCACGTTAGTGACAGATTTTAAGCAGAAAAATACAGATTGCAAGCATACATCTCAAACACAATAATTCAACATCAGAATTATCATCAGCATTAATGACTAGGACAAATCTAAAGTCTGTTCAAGTCCACCATTCAAGTCAATACAAAATTTAGCATTTTAACCAACAGTAGAGCTACACAGCCTATTGCTGTTTTACTACATGTTTGAGAATAACAATAATTATTAACCTTTATTTTATATCCACAGAGTCGTGAGAAAATCGTGATCTTTATTTTAGGCAAAAAAAATTCAATTCTTATTCTAGCCAGAATCGTGCAGCTCTAGGCTAGAAGGGCGTCCGCTGCGTAAAATTGGATAGGTTGGCGATCCATTCAGCTGTGGCGACTACTGATAATTAAAGGGACTAAGCCAAAGAAAATGAAAAAATAAATATCAATAGGCTTATATTATTATTATTAAAGTGGGATCCTAGCAATGGTATGGTCATGGTTCAGAAATATAACTTGTTTTGCAAGTTGTTTAGAAATAGTGACCGGGAAATCAGTAAGAGCAGGGCCAGTAGGTGCATCCTTTTTCTCCTCAATCAAAATCTTAAGTTTATTCATTTTTGCCATCTTTCTGAGATATTTGTTCTTGTTGAGATTAATACTTACGGAATATGTGGCGTGGGAAACATTTTAAGATCCTTATCAGTCATATTCTAGAACAAGATGGATATAAGAATTATTTGTTCTGTATTGCAATCTGGCATGTCTAGGCACATTTCAAAGCATGTAAAACCCCAAATCAGAAAAAGTTGGGACAGTATGGAAAACTGAAATGAAAAAATTAAAAAGTAGAGATTTCTATATTTGCTTTGACTTGTATATCATTGCAGACAATACAACAAAACTTATTTACCGATCATTATTATTTTTTTCTAAATAAGTATGTATTCTATTATGTATGTATATATATATTAGGTCTTGGTTAAATAATGATGTAATTTGAAACAGGTGATCATAATTATGATTTGGTACAAAAGCAGTATCCAAGAAAGGTGTAGCCCTTTAGGAGCAAAAATGGGCAGAGGATCACTTTGATGTTTCTCAAATAAAGATAGGAAGACATTTGAATATTTCACCTTCAATGGTGCATAACATAATTAAAAGATTTAAGGAATCTGGAGGAATTTCAGTGTGTAAAGACAAGGGCGCAAGCCTAAGCTACAGTCATCTCTAATCCCTCAAGCAGCACTGTATCAAGAATTGTCATTCACATATATAATACTTTGGCAAACCTTTAAGTACCACGATATATAGTTGCATCTACAAATGTTTAGATTTTGGAAAATAATATGCTGCCTTCTTTTCCAGGGATACCCATGCATATTTCAAAAAGACAATGGAAAACCACATTCACATTACAAAGTTGCGGAGAAAGAGGATACAGGTACTTGACTGGCTTGCAGTCCTGACCCGTCTCCAATAGAGAATGTGTGGCGCATTTTGAAGCGCAAAATTGAAGCACATAATTACACATAAAACACTTCATCACTTGGTGTCTTCAGTCCCTAAACATCCTTTAAGTGTTAAAGTTTAAGTGTTTAAATGCAATGACAACATTACAGTAATAATACTTTACTGGACCAACTTTTTTTGAAATGTGTTGCTAGAACCAAAGTTGGAATACGTGTTTAAAAAAAAGCATCAACAAAAATCACAAGGAAGACATTAAATAATGTTTCTTGTATTGTCTGCAATGAAATACAAGTCAAAGTAAATTTTAATATCACTTCTTTCTTTTTGTATTTGCTTTTTCCATATTGTGACAGCCTTTTCTGATTTGGGGTTGTATATAAAATGTTCTGTGCAAAAATCTAAATCACCTAAAGATTTTTTGTTGTGTTACTTTTTAATTGGGATAATTGAGATTCTTTATGCACTAGAACTCCAACAATAGGCAGAAATGGAATCTCACAATCATCCTGTACATCTGGGATTACACAAAGAACAGAATGGTTTAAAATGCTTTAGGTAAGTATGAAAAATAATAATGGCATAATTTTTATCATTTATTTGCACATTTTTTAAAAATGTAGCTATAATAGTCTACAGCTGCACAATATACCGTTTCAGCATCGATATTGTTATGTGATCATTCGCAATGTCCTATCGCGCGCATACGCAATGTTGAGTCTGGATTATAGTTCATCATTTGCATGTGCTTTTGATGCCTGTGATTGTATAATGACTATAAAAGCATTCAGGCATAAGAAATTGTACTATTTATAAATTTAACAACATTAATTTTTTTTTTGAATTATTTTTTATTTAAATCATTTAGTTACTGCACCTGAATACTGACTCGAGAAACGATAAAAGACTTTTTCAATTGTATCCTTTTCTTGATTGTATTTATAGATTGTTATGCATGAAAATACTCATAACACATACAGAAATGCACTGCAAAAAGCACAGACCACAACGAAAATGTGTAGTGGAACCCCAAAAAGTTTTTACTGTTTGTTTATTAGATTTTATGGAGATGCACTCCCACTGCAGAATCTTCCTAATAGATTTAACATTATAAATTCTTTCCAAACAGAGATTTTCAATTTATCTAGGGAAATTGTATTTATATCCCAATCGCAAAATAAATATCGCAATGCTAGATTTTTCCAATATTGTGCAGCCCTAATTTATTCTGTTTCCTTATGTTATCCGAGATGGACTCACTGCAATGTGCATACAAACAATTTAATTAAAATATATTAGTTTTAAATCAAGTGTGTTGTGATAGAGAGACTAAAACATTTACCAAGAATCTTGCACCACTCATATTGCTTTTCTTCACTGTTCGGTCACACCCCACTAGTTTCATCTGAAAACAGAAAAAAGTGTGATGCCTGAAAACTGATCTTCAGTCACACATTGCACTTAATAAATTCAGTAATATGCTATATATATAAAATATAATAAAATAATCTGTCTTCCTTTACAAAATAACAAAAAATGTGTCCAATAAAGAGCTCTTGTTTGATAATGGCTCAAACCAGTAGGCTTACAATA